AACCCACCTCTTTCTCACCTGTCCTCCTATGTGGTCTCACTGCCTCAACGGACACTGTACCGTGACACCACACTGGTCTTCTAAAATATAATCTGACTTCGTGCTTCCTCTGATTAAAACCCATGACGGTGGCTGAGCATAGTGGCTCATGCCTGGAATCCCAGCACTTTGGGAGGCTGAGGCAGGAGGACTGCTAGAGGCTAGGAGTTCAAGACCAGCCTGGGGAACATAGCAATACTGCGTCTCTACAAAAACATAAAAATAAAAAAATGAACCAGGTGTGGTGGTGCACACCTGTAGTCCCAGCTACTCAGGAGGCTGAGGTGCGAGGATGGCCTGAGCCCAGCGGTTCAAGGCTGTGGTGACCTATGATCATGTCACTATCCTCCATCCTGGACAACAGGGCAAGACCGTGTCTCTAAAAAAATTTTTTTTTAATTTTTAATTAAAAAATAAAAAAGCCTGATGGCTCCCTCACCTTTACTTCTTCTCTTATATTCATCAAATGGGGAGAGAAACATCATTGATAAATCCTTTCCTTAACTCTCATTTTTACCAGCATAGCCTCTAGGTTATGACACTAAGGTTCTGTTGTCTAGCAATAAAATATTTTGGGAAGGTGATAATAGTTCTCTTGGTAAGAAAAGGGCCTGGATGGTCCCATAGTGTTCTATTTCAGGATATAGAATCAGAATTCTCTCTAGGAAAGAAGCTCAAATCCAAGGAGTTTAGCATTCCAGTCAGCCATAGTTTGAATGTGTCCCCCAAATTTCATATACTGGAAACATAATCCTCAACGTGGCAGTGTTAAAAGGTGAGGGCTTTAAGAGGTGACCGGATCATGAGGGTTCTACCCTCATGAATGGACTAATCCACTCATGGATTAATGGGTTATCAGAAGAGTGGCATCGAGGCTTTCTAAAAAGAAGAAGAGCCACTTGAGCAACCATGTGAGCGTGCTCAGCAGCTCTGCCATGTGATACCCTGTGACACCAGAGTCCCCACTGGCAGCAGGCTCTCACCAGATGTGGCCCTCAACCTTAGACTTCTCAGTAACTATAAGAAATAAATTCAGTATCTTTATAAATTACCCAAATTCAGCCATTCTGTTATAAGCAACACAAAACAGACTCATACAAAATCCCAACTATATGAAAAGCAAAATCTAGATGCTTGGAGATTGTATTTCCTCTATCTTAACAAATTTAACATGGAAGGAAAGTTTGCAGGATTTTGTTCAACTGCT